GATTTAATTTTAAATTGGTTTCTAAAATTAGTTATTGCCTAATTTCGTGCCCAGGGTGGTTTTATCGGAACTAACGGAATTAAATTCTTGAGGGGCATGGCTTGATAGGGTTATTGACGATAATATGGTTTAGTTTTCGGATTAATCCCTAATTTTAAAGTGTTGGACCTTGGGCCTGAAGGGCTTTACTAGTTAGTTTGTGATCTAGCCCTTGAAATTGATCGATTTCGGCCTGTTAATTCTCTTTACAACAGTGGCTTCTCTTTAGTTCTTGATGTTTCACGCGATAATGATTTTTATGTTTGTGATTCATTTAGATTATTCCAGATGATAACAGGGCTTTAATTTAGATAATCAATGAGAATTGTATTCACGGAATTATTTGCATCTTTTGAAAGCGTGAAATCCCGAAGTTGATATCACACATGAAATGTTGATTATGCACAACCAACCAATAATTTTGCCCTTTGATTTCAATAACCTTCTTATGATATTGAGAGAGTCCATATGATTCATTCTAAATACAAGTAGCATAATACATTAAATGAGAGATGAATAACAACCGTCAACGTAACTATAGTCTATAGAAGATCGTTTAACTGCAGTCAAGAGAATGAGAATCTTTTTTCATCTGTCTAGCAAAGAGTTAAAGAAGAGAGATTAAAGAGAATGATTAACGTAGTTAGCCCATTCGATAATCCGAAGAACTAAATTATTAACCTGTTAAATAAATTTAGTCATTAAGATAAGTTTTAGTGTTTAGGAATAACAATGATTTTGACTATTTTCTTCAAAAATAAAAGGTTAACTTTTAATCCTTTCAAATAAGAGTATCAGTAAACCCCTCATTTTGAGGGGTTAACTAACTCATTTTAATCCCTCTAAAGGGGTTAGCTTAGCTCTTATGTATTTGTTTCGTTCGCAAATTATGGGGGTTAACTCACTTTAAACATTGTAAAAAAATTTATGTTTGACAGGTTAAGAAAGAGTTAAGTCTCGTTAACCCCTCACCCCACCACATGGTTTTTGTCCATGATTGTACATATTTGGATTGGATATTCTGTAGGCATTAAACTCTGATTTACAAAAATGACAGTTGGACTTAATTATTGTATGATTTAGTGATCACCATTGCACAATTTCTCCACTGCCATTTAGTTTGATAATATGCATTGCTTCTGTTCTTTCAGTGGCCGAGCCTATACTGGATTCACCATGGAAAATCAGTAGTTTCGTTCATTTCAGTTGGAATGGAAACAGAAATTTTGCAAATTTCCAGAGATGTAGCTTGTTCTGTTATTAATCTATCTTTCATGCATTACATTCTCATGTGTCAATTTGATAACTGCGTCTAAGTGCAGTAACATCTAATGATCAGCATTGCTCTGTTTATCCATTACGGTCTATTCTAAAGATCAGCGTTACTCATTTCATCAACGCATCACCTTATTTTATAAATATCTTAGCGATTAGTATTATGATCAATTCAGCTCATGCTTAATTGCTTATGCTATGATACTATGATACTAGAATGGTTGTGCATTAGGATGGAGCCACCATTTTGTATCGAAGAGAAAATACCACATAATTTAATTCCCGCCGACGATGAATGCGACAAAGCCCCTCAACTCCGACTCCTTCCACCTCCACAACAACCTCCTCCACGCCTCGTCCACTGCAATGGATTCGGCCACCTCCTCCTCATCAACGGCCGCGAGGGTGGCTCCCACTTCCTCTCCGGCCGCACCCTCATGACCTCTGGGACCGCCTCTGCACCTCTCTCCGCATCAGGTAACACTCTAAAATTCCCCTCGATACTAAAACCCAGTTGTGCTAGCTCTACTAACCGAGTTCTTGATGTCCCAGGGAGGTGACGCGTTGAGGATGTGTCTCGAAAGTACTCGGCGACCTCCGTCTCCTCTTCGGCATGGCCTACGGAGTCCCCTGGTTTGCCCGCTGGGGGCTACCGCCTCCACTCCGGCCAGCTTCAAGCCTCCCGATTTATCCTACGCGGACGCCATCGACCACCTCTCGTTTCTCCCTCTCGACTCCCTGCTCGCTGAGGCCAAAACGAACGACCTTGCCAATGCAGAAGACCTCCGCCAAATCGTCACGTCCTACGGGGACCAGCACAATCTCTCCACCGTCCGCGACCTCCTCCGCCACCTCATCGCCTCTATCTCCGCCGCACCGCCAAAGACTCCCAAACCGCCAACGCGCGCCACACCGGTGAAGAAGAGGAGGACAATGAGCGAGAGGCGGAAGAACTGCCGCGATTTCACACTCGTAGCCTCGAACTCGACAGTCGATGGCCCGTCCGCCGCCTCGTCTCGGTCGCCCAGGTTGTCGTCGACGCGCTGGTGGAGCGCGCGGGGCACAGATGACTCGGCAGGAGGTGCGGGACGCCGCGCGCCTCGTCATCGGGGACACGGGCCTCATCGACTTCGTGCTCAAGTCCATAGGCAACGTGGTCGTCGACCGCTACATAATCCGGTCGACGATCCAACCCTCCAACCGCGTGCTCGAGTTCAGCCTCGACAAGCTCCCTGCCACGGGGCCTTCCATCGCCTCAGCCCCATTCCAGCCTTCTCCTCTTCGGGACCTGCAAGCGTGTACAAATGCGTAGCGGCAATCAGACGGACGAGGCCGAGACAGTGCTCGACGCCCGCAGTGGGTAAAAACCTTCGAGGTGCGGGACGAGGCCGACGATCTGCTGCGATTCTACGTGCAGATGGGCGCCGAGCGAGGAGCAAGCGGCATACCTCACGCGCCCGCTGCCCCGCCAGAGCTCGTAGTCCTCGACCCACACGCGTCGCGATCGGGGACTTGAAGTCCGAGGCAGAATCGGCGATGCGGGACACGTACTGCATAACCTCCAGGTTCCGCATTTCATCGGTCGGGGAGGCGAAGGGTGAGTGGTGGAGCCCGTTATGCTGGCGGGCGTCGAGTCGGGGCTAAGGTTTGGGTGACGGGCGAGGGGGTGGACACGCGTGGCGAGCTGAAGTACGAGGGCGGGGGCGGAGGCGAGGGTTGGACGCCGGGTGCGGTGCTGTGCGAGGGATGTGGACGGGGAGAGGATGTGGCGTGCGACGCTTGCATGTCTGGCATCACACGAGTGCATCGGGATCGAGGATGGCGAGCCGGTGCCGCAGTTGTTTGTGTGCGCCAAGTGTGGGGTTTGATTCTGGAGGCTGCCGCGGCGGAGGAGGGGTGGCTGGATGGTGGGTGGCGTGCAGGGGAGGATGGGGATTGGGATTGGGATTGAGGGGATACCCCCCATTAGAGACCTCGAAGAATTGGGGATTTGTTTTTCTTTACTCTTGGGGTCTTTTGTGGGTATCTCGATCAAAAGCTACAATCCTCTTGTTCTTTTTTCTTTTCTTTTCTTTTTCCAGGGTTAGCGGTCTCGATTCTTTTTGTTCGTTTGGATGAGGGGATGAATGTGTTGGAACTGTAAAACCTGAGGAACTGCGGCTTTTTTTTTTCTTCTTTTTTCCCCGGAATGGTGAATGATAAAATAGACGAGAGCTTTCAAACATTCTCTTGTTTAATTCAAAGAATTACACTTATGTTATTAAATGGAAACTAAATTCCAAGTGGATTTGGATTCCTAAGGGCTAATCCTAATGATATAATTTAAAAGGGTACCAAAGTGTTTAATATTTTTATTAAGACACCCGGGGAAAAAAAATTTAACTAGAATTATGTTTATTTCTTTTTGCTAATAACAAAGGGGGAGTTATATAGAAAATTTTAAATTTTTTACTAATGCTTTGATGCAGTGGGAGTAAAAGATTTTACTTAATGATTTTATACAAGGGGATTAAAATTTTATATCTTAATAACATATATTTGTCATCATCAAAAAGAGGGAGAATGTTAGGAATCTTGACCCCAAGATTAATTTATTTTGATGATAACAAATATTATATGTTGTGTGTATTATGTGCTAATATTTGTTTTGCGGTATCAGAGCTATATCAACAATTATATTCAAAGAGATACTCAAGACATAGATGAGTTCAAGTCAAAATGAAGCAAAGAAGAAGATATACTTTATTGTTAAAATTTAATTACATTTTCTTTGCTTAGAAATTTGTACAAGCATTGATCACTCACACATATGCACACACATAGTATTAGAACACACTAACATATGCTTAGTGTGTTGGTTAACAATATAAATCTCATATGTTAGCCATTAGAGTTTATAGATATTGAGTGAGTCTTAAAATAGTTTATTTATACCCCTTAGAAATTAGAATCTGGAAAAACTTAGACCAAAGTTGTAAGTCTTTTCAACAACTTTCCAACAAATCTTAAATTACCTCATTCTGAGGTTGGATGAGAAAGTTACAGCCAAAATACTAAAAACAGAATTTCAGAATCTGTGAGTTTACAATGTAGTCGACTATTATGCCTTGTAGTCGACTACTAAGCAATTTTCTGACTTCACAGAGTCTGTTTAGACTCAGTGTAGTCGACTACTATGACTTGTAGTCGACTACAGATATAGTTTTTTTTTCAGATTTTAGGTTTTAAATAAGTGATTGTTTATAGCCGTTTTGTGGACGTTAATTGGGTTTAAAATTATACCATTTTAGAGGCTATAAATAGGTTTAAATATCAAAAAACAAGCACCAAGTTTTGCACTTATAAGATTCACATATTGTACAAATTAACTCTCAAAACTTTCAGTTTTTCAATCTGTTTTTCCATAAAAGAGAGTTTCTGATATTACCTTTATTCCTATCATTCTTAGAGATTGTTTAGGCAATATTCAGAGTGTTAAAAGATTGATAAGCCACTGTTACACGTTCACATCCACATCAAGGCTTATAGGATTGGAATTGTACATTGATTCAAGGAAGGTTCTCTAAGGTTTGAGAGGGTTGATCTCTTGGTCTAGAGATCGGTGTGACGATTGACATGGTCTTGTCAAATGGGTTGCAATTTGCATGGTCTTGCAAATTGGTCAGATTTGCTTTTGATTTTGTAATGTTTCTAAATCATAATGAAAACTCTCAAGCGGGATTTGCTTGGAAACTGGATGTACACCGGGGAGGTGAAACCAGTATACATGTTTGTGTTTGTGATGTTTATTTTCTAAGATTGTGATTCTTTCTTTGTAATTTATAATCTACTTTGCAAACCCACCCTCTAGTGTTTAAGTGTAAAGCTTCCGCAGATTTTTATAAGAGCGCACTCTATTCTTAAGGGTCACAATCTTATACTTAGTATACATAAGCAAAATCAGGATCCTACAGTCTCTTCAGAAGGAGACAAACTTAGTGTTGATGAACCGAGCGAAGAGGCTAGTGAATGCAAGCAATAAGTTTGTCTTTCTATGCATTAGTTCTTATGATGAGCCACTAAAAGAGTGTTGCAAATTAGAGCGGAAGGTGACTATGACGAGACGCGAGACGAATGAGTCATTTTCGATTGGACGTCAAGATCAGATTCCTAGCAAAGCCATGTTGTTCAGAAAAGATAGAGGAGCTCGAGAGTTTACTCAGCTAAAGTTCTAACTTGAACGAGACTTCAAGTTCCTAAAGGAGGGAGCCATGATACGTGTGTATCTTCTTCTCTACTTCAGAATCTTAGCGATCCTCATGGGAGCATGAGGATAGACGATTCTCATGGTATCTTGAGAATAGAGGTATGGATGAAGCCGTTGGTGGCGACGAAAAAAGCCAAAAGCAAGAAGACAACAAAATCAGGGAACTTGCGCTCAGGCTCGGGCCGGTCGATCGGACCAAGCTGGTTGATCAACCGGATTCGTGCATACTACAGGATGAGGAATGAGTTCTCTAGCCGGTCGACCGCGACACACTAGTCGGTCGACGGAACGTGGTTTTGCCTGTAGGGTTTGAAACCAACCCTCTGGCCGGTCGACCGCGACATATGTGTCGGTTGACCGAATCTGGTTTTTTGGGTTTTCCTGGGCCGATTCTGACTCTGTTTTGAGACGAATCCTGATTGTATTTGGCTTGGTTATTTACAAGTTTGTCATCCACATTGTGTACTCTATAAATAGTGATTGTTAGGGGTTTCTAAATATCAGTTGTTGATAAGAGAATATCAGTTTTGATCAGATTGAAGATTCTAATCAAGAGATAAGGGTTTTAAAGAGAATAGAGAGTTTGTTCTTTGTTCTAGTGAGATTGTGAGTGAGAGAGAGAGAGAGAGAGAGAGAGAGAGAGAGAGAGAGAGAGAGAGAGAGAGAGAGATTTGTAATCTTTTATTGCTCATAATCTAGAGAAAGTATTTTCCTTCGTCAATTGAGTTGTTTTGTGTGTTTGTTGTTCTTCTTCTCAAAAACCATCTTTGATAATTTCGCGATCAAAGGTGTTTGCACGACGACTCATATCAATAATGGGGCACTGCCTTTTGCCAGCCTGGTAAGTCAGGCTTAAGAGTGATTTTACGATTCTTTCACTTTGGACCCAAACGAATCGTGATGGTTGGACTACCTAGTTGCTGACATGGTCCCACCTATTCGAATGACCTAATTGAGTTATATGCATTAAATATGAGATCCACTCTTAGTCTGTGGTGTGTTAATTTGTTCATGCTCCCAATCTAGCCCGTCGTCTGAAAGACTAGCTATGCAGACTCTTCCTGTTGTTTCTCATTCGTTATCTTTGACAATTCGAAAACATATTGTTTTCTCAGATGTTTTTAGTTAAAATTTTATGAAGACTTGAAATGAAATAGTCGTTCTCTTTTATTAATCTATCTGGAAAATAACAAAATAGTATAATATCTTAATTATAATTTTAATTATGGAAAGCTGTGCCGAAAGAGACTAGACGTTAGCTCCGTTGACCATATGAATAAAATTCCATCGTTCTTTGTATAATAAAGTGAGATTGAAGTGATCCATTTTTAGGATCCTTGAGATGAACAATGAATTTGTTATGAAGGCCCGTTGGACAAGCGAGAAGAGTGCTAACAATGACCAAAGATCAATCTTTATGTGGCTATGCCAACATAAGATCAAAGATCAAGTGTTAATGGCTAGAGATGAACAAAGTTTGCAAGGTGAACTTCTTCTCCGCGTG